GACATTCCCAACTGTAAGATGAAAATGAAGAAACCGAACAAAAGTAGAAATCAATTGGTAATAGTTTTTGAAAATAAATTTCAAAGGAAATTTGCTTTAGGGAAATTTGTTTATACGTCACTTTAAATACAAAAGTCAAGTCTTGCCCCCAACAAATTTTCAGATTTGAGAACAAGATTTGCATTAAGCTCTGCCAAATAACTTCAAAAGTTAAATCTAATAGTAAGCAAGTGTCATCTAACTCCAATGGTTGGTAAGCAAGTGTCTCTTGAAGGGCAGGTTCAAGTTGGTTAGTATCCAAGGAAAATTAATTTGATTGAATACACTAGGTAATGTGGAGTGTGCCCTTAACATTGTTTGGGGAGGCATTAGCCCAAGGACATCCTAACTATAATTGCAAAAAGTTAAAATATTATCTAGTAAGTCAAGATTTAAATTTTAGGACTAATATCCAAGAGATTTTTTTTTTTTTAAATGTGTGACAGTTGACATCTAAACACTAATAGTAAATATAGAAATTAATTAAAATAAAAAAACTCGTCTACAGTCGTATGCCTTTACATGTTCTGCATAGGTTCTAAAATAATTCTCTGCTGCAGTGTTGAATTCAAGAATTTATTTTGATTATAGTACTGGAACCATAATAACCTACTAACAAGACGTTGAGTGTTCAGGGACAAGAAGAGAAAAAGTGTAGATAATGATATTAATTTAGTCAATTTTTTATTTGAGGATATAAATTTGTTGAGTTTCTAAATTATATAGTAAATTTTCACTTTTTTTATTTAAAAATACAAAATTTCTTCTATTTCAACTAAAATTTGTGTTTATCACATCATCATAGTCATCTAAAAATCATTCTCATCTAATAAATTTTTAAATAGAAGACATACAAAGTTTATATCTTTTTTTAAAAAAAATAATAAAAATTTATTACCTAATTTAAAAATTTTTTAATTTTATATTTTTAAATAAAAATATGATAAAATTCGAATATTTATTTACAAAATTTATCTGAACAAAAAGAATGGATGTTGGAAGGAAAATAAACGAAAATCAAGTCTCCATGTGTTGTAGAATTGACTTTAACTAATTTTTTTAAATATATATATTTATATTGCTTAATTTAATAAATTATCTATTAAATTATTGACATTTTTCTATTTTAGTCTAAAATTTTCATTTTCTTTCAAAAACATCTATTAACTTTTAAAATTATATCAATTTCGTTTATCTAATACAATTTTAATAGTAATCTTGAAGAAAGCATATGTCATCGCTTACATAATGTCATGTAAGCTACCATATAAGCTACATGTGGCTTAAATAATTCTATTTTTATTATTTTAATTGGATTTTGTTTTAATTAAAATAATTTATAATTTAATTATTTGTTATTAATTAGGTTAGGAAACAAAGAGGCAAGAATTTTTCATTTGTTTCTGAGTCACACGTTGCTTATATGACTGCTTATGTGATACCATGTAAATGATGACATAGACTTCCGTTAATCTATTTATTAGAATTATGTTAAGTATATAAAATTGATATAATTTTAAAAGTTAATAAATGAATTTGAAAGAAAATAAATATTCTAGACTAAAACAAAAACAAAAGTCAATAGTTAATAAACAATTTATCAAATTAAGCCCAATTTAGAACTGTTGCCATTTTAGTGAAGGGTTGTGTGAAGTAGGGTGAGTTTGCAACTAGGTATCGGCGACTTGCTAGGAGTTTTTTTGGTGCCAGTGGACTTGTGCAACCAGGAGGTTGACGTTGGTGTGTGAATTGTTGGAATAGAGCAGGGATTTGCAGCTGGATTTCCACAGAGGTTTCTGGTTGGATTGGAAAGGGAGGTGATAGCAAGGTGGCTTGAAGGCAACCCAACATAAGATTTTGCTCGATGACAAGGGTTTGCTCAATGTTGCTTTTCTGGGGCGCTGGCTTGAGGGGGGTTTAATGTGGGGGGAAGCTTGACTAATGTCAAGTGGATGGTTTCAATGGAGAAGGTTGGGGTAGTGGCTAGTATTGCTTGGTATCTTATGTGAGGGTCTGTGTGGAGATAAATTTAGTTTGTTTTGCAATAAAAATTGGAGAAGGTGTCTGCAAAGTGTGATTTTTGTCATCGATTCTTAAGACACCTTTCCTTGCAAATGACATTGTTGCAATTGGTTATTTGTAGAATATGACAGTGTTGTAACATGGAAGATGTTTTGGTGGGTGTTCAAGATCCATATTGTGCTAAAATCAAGGGGTTTGATAGGGTGTGCTTGTTCAATTTTTTCTGGATTGGAGGTTGTTCTTGTTACTGCAATTCAGAATGGTGGTGAGATGGGTTTAAGTGCCTGTCATTGTATACTGTAATGGTGTGCTATGATAATATAACTAATGCTCAAGAGTCCGGAGAAATAGCAAAAACCATGTTCTAATTTTATTTTTGCTATTTCTCTTTCTAATAAATTAGTATTTAAACTACTTTATACCTAAATCGAAATATTAGTAGTAACATATGGGAATTTCTATATGTTAGGGTGCTCTTGTGGCCATAGAGATTCCTTGTAATAACTTTCCCTCTTTTATTAATACAAAGCCGTGGTCATTTTCCTTTTTGGGGAAACAAGAAAAATAAACCCAATTTTTACGGGAGAGATATTCAACATCAAGGATTCAAAGGAACTACATTGAGCCATGGTTGGTCACAGGTCCTAGCTTGAAAGCCCTACCTTGAATCTCTTTGCAAGAATAAAAGAATCGTGCTCAAAGCTAGCTAGGAAAACAAAGGCCCAACTCATGATTTATTCCTAGTTCCGCCACTAAATTCAAGCATGTAAAAGTAGACACCTCGAACTTTTATAATCTCCTTTATTTAACTTCACACTAACATAGAGAAGCAGAATCTTAGCCCAAGTTCAATCCTCCTTTTTTTTTTTGTTTTTTTTTTATTATTATTTATAGAAAAAGCTCTAAGATGCTTTAGAAAAAATGTAGTTGAAAATACAATCTCAAAAGTGCAATTTGGTGAAAAAGGATCATATTTCAAAAACTGCAACACAAGAGAATATCCTTACCAATATTCCATTTGCGAATCGGACAGTGATGATCTGTATAAGGGCATAGGCTGCAAGCTCAACCTCACTGATGTGTCCGATGAACGCTTGAGTGACAACAAACATTCCAAAGCCCGATACTCGAGCTAACATGGCAGGAAATGCAACCCTCCATATCTTCTTTGATTCCTCCCAAACTCTCACCCTCAAGCTCTCTTTTCTTTCAGGGAGAAGTCTCTCCTCCATGTCCAATAGCTTTAAACTACGAAGAAAGAATGTTTTTTTTTTTTTTCATAACCACTCAAAAGAAATGATGCAATTTCCACATTATAAGCAGAAGGTCAATCAAAAAATTGTAGAGAAGGAGAACAAAACAAAGAAAAATGGTTGACAAAGATAGAGAAAGTTTTACTTCGTGCTTGTTTGATTCGCAGTTATGGAAGAACTGGCACTGGTGGGTTGAGCTAGTTTGGGAAGTCGAGGATCACTAGATGAATCTAGAAAGAATTTGAAGAAGTTCTAGAAAGATGCTGTGATCCCACTACAGCCATCACCATGCTGCTGAGATATAATATTTTTTTATACATGAACAAACCATACAAAATGGAAGCGGAATGACAGTTAGAGGTCAAAAAATGGAATTCTATTATGACTTGTAGATGGTTGCTAAATGAACCCGG